AGGGGCGGCGTTTTCAAAACGCCTCCGCAGCAGATAAATTGCCCCAAATGGAGCCTAAGTCTCCCCTTGCTTTTTGTTGCAACAACTTCTCCTCCCAAAGGGAGGCCTCTAATAATTCTTTATTAGCCTCCTGCATTTCATGAATAATATCATCAGAAGATTCATCAAGAGCCTGTAAGAGACTGACCCTCTGTTCAACCCTCTTAACTCTAACATGAACATCTCCAAAAAAACATCACAGTTCCAAGATCTTAAAGCAGAAGCCACATTTTTATGGAGCTTCCAGAGAGTGAACCAAGCGTAGCCCACCTCCTCACACCTCCAATTAGTAGCCATAACTCTAAAAAAATCATGTCTAGCCCAAATATTTAAATAACAAAAATGATAATTGGAGGCCTTTTTGAAAAAATCTGAAAAAATCAAAGGATAGGAGGAGGGGACTGTGATCAGAACCAGATCTGCAAAGATGTTGAACTTGAGAGAAACCATAAGAGGATATCCACAATTGATTAGCAAAACACCTATCAAGGCGTTCAAAAAGCTTGCCGCTTTTCCAAGTAAACTTACAACCAACAAAGCCCAGATCAGAGCTGCCAGGCATGTCCATAGTTTCAGTGGATTTATCCATCAAAGTGGTGTCAACTTTCCGACCACCCAATTTTTCTGAATCATGCATAATCATATTAAAGTCACCTTCCACCAACCAATTCTGGTGAATAAGAGCATTCATATTAGATAATTTGTGCCAAAGATCATATCTTGCCGTGTTAGAAGTCCCGACATAAATGAAAGTAAGACAACCAAAATATTCCTCCATGAAGAAAGAGGTGTGCACAAACTGTTTATCATCAATAACGACATCAACTGTGATATGCTTCCACCAAAACAACCAAATCTTATTTGAGCAATTAGCAAAGAAAGAAAATTTTTTGAATTTACCCAAAATGTGATCATCAGGAGAGGAGACCAAGGGTTTCAAAATAGCAAAAATGCCGACCTTATGAATTCTTGTCATTAATTTAAGTCTACCAAGGGAGTGAGGATCTGCAACTCCCCTGGTCTTCCAAATTAGTACGTTAAATATGAGTAGACATTTTACCCTTCCTAGAAGATCTAGGCCGGGTTTGTCCATTTCTCCATCAGAATAATAGTGATTCATATCCAACAAATTACTCCCAATATTGTGATTTTGAACCTTCTTTTGGCCGCTAAACTTTCTCCGACGATATTTTTGAACATATCATTTATCCCTTAACATTTTAGAAATATTCTCGAAAGGAGTATCAGTAAGAGCATAGAATGATGCGAATATAGAGAGGTATTATCAGGATTCAAAGCATCAAGAAGAGAGGCCGAAGATAGACGAGCCCCATCAGTGTTAGAAAGAATAGGAGGAGCCATCCCAGGCATCACCTTATCATCTCTCCCAACAGGAGATAAAGGTTGTTGAGGAGGCGAGACAAGCCGCCCCTCATGAGGAGCCAAAATAGGGTGTACAGGTAGGTGAGAACCTCGGCAGGAACAACTGCCGGAGCATCCAAAACATTTTCCACAGGGAGCAGAGGCACCTGCTCAACATTTGACTGTTTTGTACCTCCCCATTTCCGCAACTCAGGGTGTAACCGAAAACATTGATATGGGTCGTGGCCAAACATATGACAATGAGTACAGTAAGAAGGATGCTTTTCTAATAGAACCTGCTGCCAGTATCCATTGTGAGCCGAACCAATCCAAACCTCATCAGGTGGAGGTAAGGTAACATTCCGTTCGATTAAAACCCTAGCCATAAACGGTCTCAAGAGATTATAAGTGGGAGCATCAAGTCTAAGGGGTCTCTCGAACATAGCAGCCAAGGAAAACAATATCTCACGGTTAAATAAATGGACCTTCAAAGTTGGGAATCGAAGCTTCAGCTTTGGGATCGAAATTGACTGACCACTTCAAGATTTTCATAGCACAGTTCTCAAACCACACCAAACGCCTAGCAAACAGACGCGTATTGTCCTTCTCATTGGACAATTGAATTAAAATATGTCTTCCATCCAAATGTCCGATCTTCCAACCACTGGTAAGCTTCATAAGTTCAAGTGTTTCCGAAGGAACTTCATCTTTGGATGCCCATACAAAAATTTTCCTACTAGATAGAGACGACAAGAAGAGGCGAGATCGACATTGTCAGAGTCGGGGAGGAAGAGTGCGAGCTTACCCCCTTTCCGGTCTGGACGTCGAATGAAAGTAGTCTCGGTAACCAGCGCAAGAGAATCGTGAAAGGCGAGGGGGAAGCTTGGGACGCCGCTGGCGGTCACGCCGGCATAAGAACGAGCCATGGAGGATGACTTACACGCGTCGCCATCGAATCGCAAACCCTAGCAGAGCTGGAATTGAAAACATCGCGCTTGTATGTGAGTATATATATGCATACATACATATTAAGAAGTTAGGAGCCTTTGTCTTTACATATATTTCACTCTTCATCCATTCTTTTAAAGTTTAAGATATGATGTATCTTTCGTTCTCGATCCATTCTTTTAAAGTTTAAAATATGATGTAGTTAAAGTCAACGTAAATATTAATCAATAGTTATTTTCTAGCTACTTTATGTCTTAATCATTTAAAAAATTAGTTTCTCTCTATATTATTTATATCACTGCAGATTATTGAACAACTTGAAAATGTCTAACGATAACATATTCATGCAAAATAGACCATGGAAAAAATACAAGAAGCTAATTAGGCCTGTGATGGATTAATTATGTGTTAGAATTATTGGACTGTAACAATTTCATTGTTTGAAGGAAGATGAGAAGTGCAACTTCAATTTTTGAAGCCTAATAGCGCAAATCTAAAAATTTTATACTCGTCGGATGTGAAAATTATGTGCATTGATATGATTTTGGTTTTATTTAATATTTTAAATCTTTTTTTTAAAGCATGAGAATAATAGTGATCCTGCTGAGAAGGGCTTCATTCTGTGTTTGTTTGGTGTCATTTTGTCTAGTGGATTGTTCTATGTTAGTTCTGGACAATAGTTGGTTTTTTTCTTTATTGTTGTCTTGGTGACTGGTTAGTTGTTTTTGTCCAGTCACTAGCTTGGTAGTTTACTATTTGCCGTATTTACTTGTGTCACCTTTTTTTCTCATCTTGGTCTGGGCTAGCTCCTCCTGATTGTGGCTGAACCAATTGGAAGTAATTTTTGTCTCTTTAGGAAAATATTAATTTTTAGGATTGTGTCCACCCTCAATTTTATAATTTTGCCCACCCTTGATAAAAATATGCCCAACTTAGCCCCTTGTTTGCTTCTATTTTCCTAATTTCTTGTATTATTTATACTTATATTTTCTAATTATAAATTTGATGGTATTATCTCACTAGTTGTTTGTTTTTTTTTCCTCTAAATGTATTAATTTTATGTATTTTTATTCATTCATTTATTTATTTATTATTATCGTCATTTAATTACCGTATTATTTATATATTTAAAATTCCCCCCCCCCCCCCCCCCAAAAATCGCGGAGGAGGTGTTCGCCTTGCCCCAGCATGGAGTAGATTGTTGCAATGGATTGCTAGTTAATTTGGTAGTCGTTTACCTCATGCAAAACATGAATAATTGATGTTGGATGTTTTGTTGCTGGCAACTTATTCATTACATATGGGATCTGATATTTTCTTTTGTTGCTGGAGTTCGATTGTTGTTTTCTTCTGCGGCATTTCTATTTTGACATTTTTCAGGTGGGCTAATTTTCTGCTTCTATGACACTAGTAGATTAACAAATAGGCTGTTTATAGGATTGGCAGAATTGTGCACTTGGTGTTTGGAGATTGGAAACTTGTTTCAACTATTTTAGATTTTTTGGAACTACCGAGTATATTGTAGTTTCATTTATAAATAGGAAGTCTCTAGTTATATAAAATTCAAATTTGGCTTAATACAATTTAGACTACTCATATTTATTCTTCTGGAGATAGACTTTTTGAGCTTTGAAGTTGTTGCAACTTTTGGGCAAAAGTTTTCTCCACATATTGGCATAAGTTTTAAGATCTTGGTTAATTCTATCCTTGCTCTTTTCATTAATGCACTTTGAAATTGATTTTTTCATGCATAATTAAAATTTGGTCATTTCCACTATTATATGGTTTTGCTTTTTGGTATTTAAGTTTTTATCATGCCTAGTTTGTTGCCTTGTTCTTAGATCTCTTGTTTGATTTCAGATTTGGATGATCTTTAAATTATCATTCGGTACAATTTTTTTTTTTAATGATTTTCTGTTTTCTGCAAAAGATACAATTTTTTGCCTTAAGATTTGGTGTACTGAGAACTTTGGCCTTTTCTGTTTCCTTTATCTTATTCTATATTTGCATTAAAAAATCAGAGAGCCTAAAACATCTTCCATCACCTAAAGTTCAAAGCAAGTTACGTTTCAATCTAATAACTTTTAGCAGCTGGAATGATTTTCCAAGTTCTTCAAGCTTCATATTGAGATTCCTAGAACCGTGAATCGAAAATTGGGGGAGAAATTACAAAAAATGCACGTAGCATAATATCCTATTACATGAACAGAAATTTAACTTCCTAATGAGGAACGAGAATCATTAGGTGCAGTAATTTCCTCTCCATTAACTGTTCTTCCCTATGCCCTCCAGACCTTCCCTTACAATATATCTTCACTCAAAAGGCTGACATCCAGATTCGGATTGTCCCATTTTTCAGTTTCTTTAAATGCTGCTTAAATTTCGTCGAGTAGCAAAATAAAACATTTATGTATTCACCGGCTGTTACCAAAAGGCAAAATATAAGCAGTAAATCTGCTTACATTAGAAGCGTTGCAATCCATTGCTGATCTGTTGCAGAAAATAAGATTCTTGCCACTCTGTACTCCTTCGAATAATGGAACTGTCTATTTATTTCTGCATGAAGTGGCTTCTCTTATAAATGATTAGTCATTTCTATGACTTTTTTTTCGCTGCTGATTAAAAATTGTTGTATTTGGTGTCCTTTGCAGTAAGAAATATTTTTACTGGTGAAGTTGTGGCTGTTATGGACCACTTGTGGTTGCTGCTGCTACTTTTTCTATAAATTTGAAGAAAGACGTTCGTATGCTTTTTTTTTTACCTATTAACTCCAGTATTAAAGTTGAAGAAAGGGACTTTAATCAGTGCTTGCAGGTGTTTTTATGGGTTCAGCTTGTCTTTATGAATTGTCTTTTCAATGTATCTTAGATATGCGGACATGTGCTGATGGAAATGTAAGGTGACACAGCTGAACCTTTAATTCACTATGCACCTCATGTTGTGAAGAGAATTGAGAATGAAGGTCATTTTCTATTTGGGAAATTTACATACTAGGACAAAATTTTTATGTTTTTACATATCTCACACCTAAAATTTCATATTTACATCTCTAACATGGTGTTTTAAACTTATGCTTGACGGCATGAAAATATGTATTTTACTTTTTAAAAAGTGGCAATAGTACAAAATAGTACTATTGCCACTTTATTTGAGTGATGTGTAAATATACAAATTTAGATGTGAGATGTGTAAATGCATAAGAATTGTTGGTTATGTATGTAAATGCCCCTTTTTATTTATGGCTAGTTTGTGGATGTTTGAGGGTTTTAGAGTGGAGACATTAATCCTCCCATTATTGAAAGCAATACTTCTCACTCACATCCCTGTTTGGGGCAGCTTATAAATGCGGGCGACATTTTGAAAACGCCGCATTACCGTTTGGAAAACACGTTTTGGCAGCTTATTCGAAAACGCGGTTGGATTTTTACACTAAATGCATGTCGTGGTTTGAACCCTGCGGGTCACCTGTGGGCCGCGTTTCAGGATAAGTTGCTTATCCGAATTAACACAAGCTGCCCCAAACGCTATTATCTTCTTAAATTTTTAGGCTTTTGCTTGATCATCATTATTATCTTCAACTTTATATCCAATGTTTGGCTTTGGCTTTGGCTTTATGATTTCTCATTTTTCTTTCATTCTTATTCAATATTGTATGAAGTATTGAATTTATTTTGTGCTGTAATATTTTTTGGTATACATTTTTAGTTCATACGTTTCTGAAGCTAGTTTTATCAACTCATTTTTATCTGTGCACTGTTTTTGCCTTCCTAGTCTTTGATACTTGATCTTATGAACTCATTTTGTGATGCATTTTATTTCTTTATCGCGTATATTCAAACCATTAAATTTTTGTTTTTCATCAGTTTTCTTTGATATATTACTCTCACAGTCCTTTTAATATAATCATTCATGATTTTTCACACATTCAGCTCAACATTTTAATTTCTCACATGGTCACACCCACAAGTACATTCAATTTCAGCACTTTTTTGGTAGAAGATTTACATACAAACCATTCAATCCCCATGTATTTACATATCTAACAACTTCAATTTTTATATATATGTGACCTTACTTATACATTAAAAGGTGTATTTCAGTTTTTAGAAGTGAAAATAGTTGTATTTTTTATGTGATATGAAAGATTTGGGTGGTATAAATGCTAAAAAGTAATGTTTAGATGTGAGATTATGTAAATACATAGAAATGCATGTAAATGCCTCCTTTTTTTTTTCATTTTTTGTGATATGCCATACATTTTAAGACAGAATGAATGTGTCAAGTTTGACTAAGTTTTAAGTTCCTTTATCCATACATTTATGGTATTTATTTTTCAGTCATGCTAATATGCTGTTATGATTTGAATTAATCATATATTCCAAATGATGAGTAAAATATTTCAATAATTAGTAGCTATATTCCAAAAGAAATTAATATAGCTAGAAACAGCTTGGCAGTTTATGGCACATTGAGAGTGTGGGGGGTTTAGGTAGACCAATTCTGACTCCTGACTCCTGACTCCTGCTTATGAATTAGGGGCTTCTGCTGCAGCAATCTTTTTGACTGTAACAGTAATAAATGATGCCCATGTGACAAAAGCTAGGGCTGGAAGGCATCCAAGGATGTTAAGAGAATATAATTTTTGTGAAATTTTAGCTCACAGTATATTTGTCTAAGTTTAGTTTAGAATTCAGGACACTTTCTCAAAATTTGGTTATTATTTCCTGACTCCTCTCCTTATTTTGTGAGACAATGATCATAAAGTTTATGGGGAATAAATTGAGAAATTTACATGTATATGGCACTGTTTCCTATGTATGTACATTGCTAATATATTAAGTTTTGTATTTATATTTATAACAATTTGATATTAAAAATTTATGTATGAAAAGGTGCATTCACTTTAAAAATTTTGAGTGATATTTATGTAAATATGAAAGATTAGGTGTTAGATTTGTAAATATATAAGAAATGTGTGGTATGTATATAATAATTTTTGTAAGATGAATGATTTTATCTTGCCAATGATTAGAATTTTTTTTTTTTTTTTTTGTGAGTGAGAGCAATGTCTTATTTATTGAGTAGAATTTCAATGAGACCATGACAGGAAGTTTTGTACCTTTAATTATTAATTATTTCGTTCTGGATTGTTTTATATATCTTTGTGTAGGGCTGTTAAAATGGCTCGTTGTTCGCGAACAGCTCTTGTTGTTCGGCTCGTTTGCTAAGTTGACGAGTTGAACACGAATAAACATTTGTCCTTTCGTATTTGGCTCGTTTTGGCTTGAAATATTACTCATTAATTATATATATTTATGAGTAGTATTTTTAAAAGAATTAGTTAACTACAAGGCTACAAAGTTATAATCAATTAAAAGTATTAATTAAAAAATAATATAAAATTATCAAAATAGATTGAAATGATGTTTTAATATAACTAATAATTTTTAAATCTTACCCTAACTCTTAACATCTTATGGTTATCTGATTAGGATTGTCAAAACAATTCTTTGTTCGTGAACAACTTGTGTTCGGCTCGCTAAGCAAACTAGCCGATCACAAACATTTTTTGAGCTCGAAATATAAACGAGTCAAACAAGAGCTGAGCCTGGGCTTGCTCCTATTCTGCTCGTTACGGTTGTCTTTGTGCTTCATGTCTTATTTAACAATAACGTAGTGAGTGTTTGATTTCAATTTAATCAATAATAAATGGAATTTATTTAATAAAAGTGAATTAACATGTTATATTCAGCTGAATAAAAGGGTAAAATTATTTTTTAATTCAATTATTAAGTAAAAATCACTATTAATGCCTGAACTAGAAGTAAGCATTGCATGACTGGAATTTGTTGAATTGGTCAATAGTAGGTTTGGGTATAAAACCTTGCGATTTATAGTCTCAGCTACTCCTTCAAGTGGCATAAATTATTGCTAAGTATGGAAAAATAATCAGAAGGGAAAGGGGCATTTACATACTACTCTGTTATGTATTTAGATGTTTTAACGCTTCAATTTTACTTTTTACATTTATACCATTCAAAAGTTGCATGTAACATAAAAATTATCACTGTTTTAATTTGAGGATCTTACATACCATGCATTACGAATGCCGTAAATTATTTATCACTCACACCAAATTTCAATTTTACGTATCACGAACTCTGTTATGCCTCTAACGCTTTCGTCGTTTCACTCTGTTAGAAAAGAAGTGAAACTTCGATTTCAACAAACTTGTATTCAAATTGACCGGTTCGACAAGTCAAACTCAATGACATTAAAATTGACATCATTCGAGTCAAATCAAGTTTAGATCAAGCCATTAAATCACTTTTGAAAGCTTTTGGTAGTTAATTGGATGATCAAATGTGTTATAAATCTGATAAGTTTATAGTCAAATCGAACGTCTTGATAAGACGAATCAAACAAGTCCAACAATCTCTCAATTATGACATCATTATGATGCATGAATGTCCCAAAAATGGCATTTGATCAAAGGATTCATTATGGGCCGTCTGATAAAATGATTCAAATTCTTGTCTTATTTATAAGGGATATCACTCCCAAACTCTATAAATAGAGCTTTAATCCTTTTGTGAAAGATGAAGAAAGAGCTAGACCTAAACCTGGATCAGTAAAAGAAGGAGCCAATTTCCAGAGTTGTTCTAGAGTGAAGATGCGACGATCACTCTCGTAGCTAATGACAACCGTTGACCACCGCCACTTTGATTTTCATCGATCATCGTCGGCCGCCTCCTGCTCGTTTCCATCGGTGAACCGTGCGGAGTAATGACGTATGTTGTTAAGTAAGGAAGCACATTACAGAGCAACACAATGTCTTGAATATTGTGCGACAATGTACCTCAATGAAGATGAACCCAACTTTTGGTGATAAATCCCAATAGCAACTACTCTCGTCCATTGTGCAATAAACTCTTCTGCACACGGACAGTGTACTTGGAGGGACTTTATAACCCTTTCCTATATGTGGGACAAGGGTTTATACTTGTACTCACATATAATGGATCATTCTGACTGGGCTAGACCCTATGATTTTTTTCTTTTTGGTTTCTCCACATAAAAACTTTTGGTGTCTCTACCTATTATTTTTATTATGTATTTGTGTTGGATTTTATACAATTTTAAAATGCTAAATAATCACTCTACCATCACGAATAATCCAGTACACAACAGTTTGGTCTCATCTATGGGATGGAAAATCCCACAATCAAATTACTTGCAACACTTGCTAAATGGTCACCAGGTGCAATACTCGTAACAACGGAGCATCTATTATAACACCTACCATTCTAGGGGACGGCCACGGACCAGGGATGTCAAGCCTTTGCCTCTTCTCACCCTGAAATATATTATCTTGCTGGCGAAGGTGCCTCGATCCCCTCTTTGGAAGACTGGGATGGAGGAGTCTCAAATTGAGATTATTCAGCTCCTACATGAGGCTTGGCAATCGATGCCTGTATAATTATATCAAGCATGGTTACCATAAAGTCAATGATTAGAAGGAAATGTCCTGTTTGAACATACTCGTGATGAGACTCTTGCTCCATTAGGCCTGGTCACCAATCTCATCGATACTGCAAGTCTCACTCATCCATCACGTGCAACTAAACGAGCTGATAACCTTTCAAAACTTGCAGGAAACCTGACCCAACCGCGTCATATTGTTGCTTCTGATATTATAATCGATGATGAGCTATGTTGTCTGGTTCGAGAAGAGTTCCCTCCAGGAACAGAGATCGTTTTTCCACTCGTTGTAATTTCCATGAATCGTCACCCTTGATTGAGGTCGTTCTTAACACCCCATCCTAATGTGTTTCAAGCCCCCTAGTATTGACTCATACATAATGGTAACTAACTCTTATGAATACATTGATCATTATCAGAACATCTTGCACATCCATCATAGTGTTCATGTGCATCACTAGACAAAAA